TGTCAACAGGCCCAATGATTACACTGGCATCAATCTTCACTGAGAGCAACCCCTTTTCCTCCTCGATAGCTAGGGATTGATGGTATTCCACTTGCCGGAGGAGACCTATTGCGCAGCTAGGTATATCCAGGCGCATATCGCCAGGGGCGGTAAAGGCCAGTAGGAGAGACTGGAAGTTAGTTGGAGTTGCATGGGCATGACTGAATTTTATTCCATTGAAACAGGACTTTTGCTTCAGCAGACCATAGATATTAGTCTAATTATTTGTCAATTTTTGGCAGGCATTTTCAAGTAAAGCCGAACTGGACTTTTTACGATATATGGCACTAGCCGGCACACGTGCAAACCGTGAGAGTCCGGAGACAAATTCAAGTGATGAGGTGAGCGAATCGATAGGCATTTATAAACTTTTCATTAGGATCATTGACTTTCGATGCAAATATTTATCCCGTTCTCTCATTTCTTGTGCATGCTGTGTTTATCATTCTATTCTAGCCAATTGCTCGATCCATTAGTCTTAAAATGTACACCAGAAGTAACATTTTATCCTTTCCACACGTCCGAAACCACAGGTTCGCCTTTGGCATCCGCTGTTTTTAATTATAATTCCAAACTTGGGGCACTTATTTGTGAACTTGTTATTTTAGAAGTTCTACGTCGTACTTCAGGCATGCATGAAGACATTGGAGAGATTTAATTTTTTGGAAGATGACGTGGAAGTTCTCCAGGTGGGGTGCATCTGTCTCTGGAACATGTGTCTTCCGTTTTTCAATGAAGGGCAAGCAAACAATGGGATGGTGCGAAAAGCCATCGAGTTGATTGCTCGAATTTTGGAGAATATAAAAAGGTATGGCTGGTAATAGCGGATACTGAAGAATAAAGCTCTCGAATGATAAATCATGTATTAAGTACTTTGATTTTTTTAACCTATCTAGTCAGGCATCACTGTACTTCTTAATTTCCAACGTTAAAATCCTGACAAAAATACTATAATTTCTTGTGTCTTAGCCGGTAAGGTTCAAACATAGCACCAGGCACAAGTCGGTTCAACATTCTGGGTCTTACGAATGCTGGTCTCGAAATTGAAAGCTTCCACTCAACTATCATTTCCATCGCTGCTGTTTTTGTCATTTTATCTTCACTCAGGCATGCGTGTAGGTCAGAAATGTGATTCAAAGGAAATTTCCGTGTGCGGACGTCAGATGATACGATTCGAGCAATTTTGCTTTTTGACATAGACCTCTCTGATTATCATTCTTTCCAGAAATCGAAGGCAAACCTAAGCTCGTCGTGTCATTTGCAAAACATTTAGCTTTGAACAGCTTTTCTACAACTTTTTGCTAATTTAAGGGGGTTGATTGATAATGCTTATAGACATTAATCGAGTTTCCGCATTTGCATCTTAAATGATCATAAGTATTGGACTTTGTGGCTTATATCAGAGACTGTGACATGCTTGCTTTTCCGAGACTTTCCCATATAATCCAGGTATTGACGTAAGACTTGGTAGGTCACGGGTGGTCAATTTCGCGAATTCCTTACCTAACCTCAAAGGGTAGGACGTCTGAGTGAAACGTTCGACTAACGTACTGCCCATGACGTGAATGTATGCAGTCCTCTAGTTATTTACGAAAAAGCGGAATAAGATTAGATTACAAACGATCGTGGAACTCCTCCGACAGCCTCTAACGGATACGATGCAGGTACAGGTATTTCGACCACAGATTACATATTTAAGTACTAGATTAACAAATAATCACCGAATGCACAAACCTGGACCGTTCTAATGCTCCAAATACTGAATACAACAGCCCCACAGGGTTCCGAAGTGGCCTGGCAGAGAATTGCTCGAACAAAACTGGGTACTTGGGGACCGGGTGCTCGGGGGTTGGATTCGTCAACTGCCATGCCCACTAAGCAGACGTTGCGTAAATGCGTTAAAACAGATTGGGACACTGCGAGGAAGTTTCATGTGCCAAGAACGATGCTGAACACTAACCTGATGGCCATTAACACGTTAGCGAT